GGGGGGGGTTTGTTTTTTAGGACAAAAACACAGAAGCAGCAGCTTAAATTCACTATTTTTAGAAATGAAACATCTGAGGTTTGTCCTGTTCATCAAGCCACTACTTACGAAATACATCAATAAATGAAATATTGAGTGTGAATGATCTTAGTCTTTGAGCAGGATGACATTAATCAAGTTCTGAGACGATGAGCATTTACACAGTTTACAGTCATTAGACACAGAATGATGCAAATTGAAGTCTTTTCCACAATATTAATGCCTCCAGTTCATGTTTGCATCTTTATACTTGCGCTTTGTCGTTTATTCCTATGTTGTGTTCATGTGTATCGTGTGAATGTGTGTTTGTCATGTAAAGTGCAGTCTGTGATGAAGCTGCTTTGACTGAAGATCTGGAGTGAAGAGCCTCCAGAGCACATTTCTTACACAATTAAATAGTTTCTAAAATGAAATAAATGGCTTTCACATTGTCTTTAGTAAAATATTAGCTGGAAACATTTGCTTATTTTTAGAAAAATAACAAATTATGGGATTAAAAATATATATAAAATGATTATAATGCAACATACAATTGCATCAAGTTGCATTATCTTTGCAAAATTATTCATTATTAAACATTTGCTTATTTAAAAAAAACAATTGAAAAATAAATTAATTCCATGATTTCTGACCAGTCTTTCTTTAGAAAGTAGAATGAAATATTCTTAAATTCAGAAAATGTGAAAACAGTCTGTTCAACGCTGCTCAAATGCGGCATTCACTCATGTATTTATACAACAAATGCATAATATTGCATAATGTAAATAGACTGTAATGAACTCTCTCTCTCTCTGTGTGTGACGTTCAGCTCCTCCGGAGTTCCTGCAGTGGCCTCAGTCCGTGTCGAAGCCGGCGGGCAGCAGTGCCGTCTTCACCTGCCAGGCTCAAGGTGTTCCTGATCCACACCTCATCTGGCTGAAGAACGGCAAGATCCTCACACCTGGAGACAACGTCAAACTCTCCAACAGCAACAAGTGAGAGCCAACCTACTGCTGCATCCTCACTGCTGACATATCAAAGAACAATCTAATGTTTTGAAATGGAACAGTTTATTCAACATTTAGACAAAATATTTTTTAAAAAATTGCATATTATGTTTTGTATTATATTTGCTCCATCAGGATTGTATGGCTCATACAGTGAGAATATGGAGGGGAAAACAGCTCAATTTTATTCAAAGACAAACTGAGCAAAAATATGTCTGACACGAGAAGCTCCAGCTGAAGCAGTTACACTAAAAGAGCTTCGACTGGATAAACACTCTAAACTATCAATTAGAAACAGAAGACTTGAGGAGATCGAGTGTGACACTGAGTTTTGATCAGATGTTGGTGTAAATGATCACGTGTGTTGATCTGCAGCACGCTGGCGGTGACGCGCATCACGGCTGAAGACGAGGCCATCTATCAGTGCATCGCGGAGAACAGCGCAGGAACCAACCAGGCCAGCGCTCGTCTCGCCGTCTCTCCATCCCTCGATCTCCCAGAAGCCCCTCAGGACCTGACGGTCACGCCGCTCTCCACCACTTCTCTACGGGTGCGCTGGACGCAGCCGGAGCCGCACGTGACGGACCGCATCATCGGATACGTGCTGCACATCCGCAAACTGGGAGGTGAGACAAACCACGAGACCATCAGACTCCGAGTCAGACTCCAGACTGATGACTGACTGAATGATGTTTGTGTGCTTTCAGAGCCGGACAGCAGCGAGCTTCAGGAAGCCGTCAGCAAAGACACGTTTCAGCACGACTTCACAAACCTGCAGGCCTCCACCACCTTCTCCATCTATGTGAAAGCGTATTCACCGCTGGGAGCCAGTCAGCAGTCCAACAGCGTCATCGTCACCACACACGGAGCCGGTAAGAGTTTACATGCGTATGTGACTAATTAAACTCATGACATATATATATATATGTGTACATATGCTAAAGGTTGACCAAAACTGTATGGTAATGTTTGTTGTACACTCTTACTAGTCACTCTCACTAATCTCACCCATCTGTCTGTCAGTTCCCACGATGCCCAGCTTCTTCACGAAGGTTCTGAACAGCACAGCGATGCAGGTGTTCTGGGAGCTTCCTGCTAAAGCTGGTCGAGTGGAGGGATACAGACTCTCTCATCGCATGCTGCCACAACAAGAGTTTAGACACGAGGAGCGATTCCCCGCTCACATCAACACACACACCATCTCTAACCTCGGTCAGTACACACACATACACACATACACTCCTAGCATGTTGCTAGCATGATTAACAAGTAACTAGCATGTTGCTAGCATGATTAGCAAGTTACTAGCATGTCGCTAGCATGCTTGCATTATAGAATAATTGTATTTTACAATGAAGAAATAATACTTTTGCATTAAAGAAAGAAACATTTTAGAATAAATAAAATAATACTTTTAGCATTGTAGAATAAAACACACACTCGTGTGTCATTAATATCTATATATGTCATCTGTAATGAATGGTCCTGGTGTTCCTCAGGCTGCTGCAGTGGAGCGTCAGGCGGCGGTTCCTCAGTGTCAGGTGATGATTGAACCTCAGCCTGTCCACCCGCCGGACACTGGCACCGGATGAGACACCTCTACCCCCCCCACACCCCCTTCAGCTGTACAGCGACCACGTCTCTCTCACCAGAGCCTTACACTGAACTCAACGCACTCACACACTCACACACACGGAGCTCGTGATGGACGTCCGTTCAGAACGACACGCTGCATCAGTTCCAAACCCGAGTGAACTACATAGACAACATCCTAACCATCGTGCAACAACACACGGGAATGATTAGGAATTTCACATTTAGCATAAACACAAAAATAGTCAGAATTCCCTCAACATTTTCCCCCAGTGCATTCTTGGATTGCAGTAGGTCATGGGTTCGATTCCCAGGGAATGCATGGACTGAAAAACGGTGTATAGCTTGAATAGATAAAAACATCTGCCAAATGCATGCATGTAAAGCATACGTGTGATGCAGGTTTAGAATGAGCTCAATAGATATCTTATAAGACAGATGCATTCAGTGCTGTCTATGTAGGCGACTCTCTAGGTTTGGAACAGAGCTCCGATTTAAACACTCATTTGATTAAATATTTGTAAGAGGAAACATGGTTACAGTTTCCAAACAAACCTCAAACTCAGTTAATGTTACAAACTGAACTTTATCCTGTTAAACCAAAAATGCATGTGACTGAACAGATGAAGAGTTCGTCTGTTATAGTATTAGATGAGTGCGTGTCCTGTGATTGGACATTAATAATTCACCGTATTAGCCTGTGTGCAGCTGAAGCCCCGCCCTCTTCCCGTACGCCCCTCCCACTCCACCCAAACTCTCTGTCTGCTGCTGCTGGGAAAAACACTCTACCTCAACCACACGCGTCTTCAAACGGGTCCTCTCGGGTCCGTCAGAACCTCCGGTGGACGCCGAGTTTGAGCTCTGCTGTGACTGCTGATGTTTTACGAGACTCTTTCTCAGATTTTGTGATGAGACGAAGCTTCTGTGAAAGTTGAGGGACGTCCAAAGAACTTCTGCTTCTCTTTTCTTTCTTCACAGTGTTCCACAAACACACTGGTGTTTTCTTTCCGGTCATCTGTAAAGCTGTAAAGTACAACGTAAAGCTTTGTAAAGTTTCCCATACGGCAAAAAATATGTTTTTAAATATATATCTTAATATACAAAAAATGGCCAAAATATATATATATTTGCTAAAATATGTTTCAGAATATTTTTATGTAAATATATTTTCAGTCAAAATATTTTTTGGTAATTTTTTTTATATTTTTTTGAAAATGTCAAAATGTCACACCTGTCAAATTTGAAGAAAAATTTAGAAAAGAACATATTTTACAATATTTAAAAAAAAAAAAATTTAAATTAATTAATTAATTTAAAATAAATACATATTACAATAACAAGCTATTCCATCCAAATTTCGCTGAGCTTCACAGTTTACAACATAAATTTAGCATATATTTAAAATATATTTTGGCCAGATTTGTTTATTATTTTTTTTTTTTGCCGCATGGGTTGTCTTCCTGGTCAGTGATGGTGATTAAACCAGAAAACTAACCAGCTGACCATTAACCAAAGCTAAACGCACTCATTAGCTCGAGCTCATAACATGATGATGATGATTACCTCAAAGACACAGATTCTATTCTAGAAATTATAACTAATAATAATAATAACTAGCAGATATGGGATATATTTTCATATGTTAAACCCGAAAATAAGACCTGCTTCTTTGTTTGTGGTGTTGAAGCTGAACTTGCCAAATAGGGTTAGTGTTGAGACCAAATACCTCGTATTTCTTCTTCTAAAGCACATGAAGGAGCCCGGAGCCGAAGATGGTGTTCATGTGTGTGTCTGTGTGCTTAACTAACCGGTTTAACACACTCTTCACTGTTGGAATAGTTACCAAAATAACACGTTCTAGGATTCACGTGAAAGTCTTTAAACCTTTCGGACTCTGATTCTTGTTGAAACACGAACAAAACCAAAATGTAAAAACTAAAACAAAACAACAAGATTAGAAACTGAGGCCAAATTTTTAGACGAAGCGAGTGGAGAAGCGTCTGTTCTCTTGTAGAACTTTGATTTATTTTCCCACGGATGAAAAGTTCTTTTTCTGCTGAATTTGGGAAATCTTGCCAAAATAGATGTACGATTGTTCTTTAATGTTATTCTTATAGTATTGTTGCCGTTCTTTTGATTCCCTTTTTTCGGCGTTTAATTCTTTTTTTATTTCTTTCTGTAGAATTAAAATGTTAGGAGTTTGAAACGAGATTGTTGATTGCAAAAAATTCCCAAAAAAATGTACAGTCATTCCAGACGTGATTTTATA